GGCTGATTTTTTGATTTATTGTAGAGATGAGGTCTCGCTGCCCAGGCGGGTCTTGAACCCGCGGGCTCAGGCAATCCACTCACCTCAGCCTCCCAAAGGCACAGGATTACAGGCTGAGCCACTGAACCCGGCTTTCTCTCTTTTCATAGAGAACTCCCAGCTGTCACTCAGTGGATCACCAGACTTCTGGTCTCCCAGTGCTACCTTTTCTATCATAAAGTTTACACTTGATTCATCCCACAATTCACAGGCAAAATTGAGTGAAGGACATGGGCTTGTTCTTGCTCAAGTCCTGTTCTAATCTGTGCTCTCCATATTTCTATTGAGTAAATTGAGGTGGAGAAGATTTAGGGAGCTAATTTGGAGCCCCTCCCCCCCAGAAGTGCCTACTCTCCCAAATCCTACCCTACTGTGTAGGACTTAAGACCAGTTCCTAGGAGTTAATAGTTCCTAGATCATATAGTTCCAACATGGGTGGAACTAGGTGCTCTCTAAGAGAAAAGCAAAAGCCCCAGTCAACTGCCGCTTTCACAAGAGGCGTCTTGCTTACAGCTGAAGTGATGCAGGGAAATTACACGTTTAGGAAAAAGAGACCTGGTGTGAAGCTTGGTGAACTTCAGCCTCACCCATTACATCTGAAGAGTCATCATTAGCCAGGAATGGGCTTCAGAGACTACAGCCAGGTGCAGGCAAAAGTAGGAGTGGCTGTCTCCATTTGCAAAATTGCTTTGTGTCACAAGCAGGCATGTTGCTGAACAGGGGATCAAGAGAATAATTTATCCTTACTTGTTTTATTTTATTTTATTTTTTTGGAGTTGGAGTCTCACTCTGTCGCCCAGACTGGAGTGCAGTGGTCGCTCCCGGCCACCGCAGCCTCGACCTGCTGGGCTCCAGCGATCCTTCCGCCTCAGCCTTCTGAGTAGCCGGAAGTACAGGCACATGCTACCACACCCGGTTCATTTTGATTTATTGTAGAGATGAGGTCTTGCCAAGTTGCCCAGGCGGGTCTCAAACCCACAGGCTCAGGCAATCCACTCACCTCAGCCTCCCAAAGGCGCGGGATTACAGGATGAGCCACCGAGCCCGGCTATTACTTGTTATATTTTGCTAACATTATACACAGGTCTTCACAGGCTGAGACCCAGGGCTGTTTCCCGGGAGGCAAAGGCCAAGACAGTTACCAGGCATGTGTGAACATGAGCATAGTGTTGTGTTAAGTGACTGGAAACAGCCTCGTTGCCTACTCAGGAGGGTCACCCAGATTGCCCCTTGAGGACAGCGATAGTGATGCTGAATATAGGATGCTCTTTATGACCCATGTTTCTTTCCTGGATAAAAGTAAAGGGGGGAAGGTCAACCTTTGTAAAGTCAATCACCTCTGGGAACTGATTCTAAAGCTGCCACAGACCTCAACCCCACTACGAGGCTCCCCCTCACCATCCTGCCACATAGCTAGAGTGAGTGCTAAGGAGTATTGCTTTTTAAATTTGGGTCTCCAGAAGCTTCATTTCAGCTGTCATCTACGGCCTTGGGCAAGAACCCATAAGCATCTCTGGATCATCATGTGCTTTGTGACCTCTGGTTGCCAAATCCTTCCTGATGTCAATATTGGTCTGTCCAGGCTTGCCAAATGACATTGGGAAAATAGAACATGTCCTCTAAGCTGACTGCCTTCTCCTCGGGTCTTTTCTAATGCCTCGGGCCTTTTCTAATGCCTTTCCCATCCTCAGCCTGGGCCAATGAACTGACATTATAATTGTGTGCAAAGCCAAAGCATTTCACCTTATGATAAGGCTGGCAGTTAAACATCTCCCTGATGTTTTTTAAAAAAGAAATGGCTACTAGGCACAATGTGGTAGAAATCAAAAGCCTCAAGTCCTGGTTCTGACTTTGCCATTGAGTTGCTTGTGACCTTAAACAACCCCTCCCCTCTCTAGGCATGAAGAAAGGAATCAGGCTGGAACTATGTATTTGTCTGCCGGGTGCCAAAACAAAATACCAGACTAGGCAGCTTAAACAACAAATACTCAGTTTTTCTGGAGGCTCAAAGTCCAAGATTAAGGTGCTGGCAGGGCTAGGTTCCTCCAAGGCCTTACTCCTTGGCTTACAGATGGCTGTCATCTTGCTGCCTCTTCAAAATTGTTGTTCCTCTGTGCACATGTGCCTCTGTCGTCTCCCTGTGTGGACAGATTTCCTCTTCTTAGGAAAACACTAGTCAGATTGGATTAGGGCCCACCCTAATGGCCTCTTTTTAACATAATCATGTCTTTAAAGTCTCTATCTCTAAATGCATTCTGAAAGGCATATGAATTTCGGGGGCACACAGTTTACCCCCTAACAGACCATATGAATCATTTGGCTAAGGAGGGTCCATCGTAAAGCTAGTTACCACTGGGGGTGAGCAGCGCTAAGTCCTAGGAGGGACTAAGGAAAGAACATGCATTTCAAAGTCATCCCACCAGAGAAGAAGGCAGGGAGCATTTATCTCCTAAGGACCCCAGTGCTCCTGTGTCCATTCCTGAGTAGCTGCACGCAGCAGCCAGCTCCCCATCCTCTGGTGGCCTGGAGGCTGGAGGAGGGACCTGCAGGAAGGCATAGGCATTTCGAAGGGGTAGAGGCAGAAGAGACCCCAGAAGAGAGAGGCTACATGAGATCCTCCACAAGCCAATCAAGCACATACTTAGGGCAACAGTGATGTTGGTTTGTCAGAAACTCTGACACTAGCGCAAAGTGCTTAGGAGTATGGGCTGTAAAGCCAGCGAGTTCTGTCCAATCCTCAGCCCTTCATCTTACTTGAGGTGTGACCTTGGACTCATTCCTTAACCACACTGAACTTCAGGAGATGCTAGCATAAACCCCACAGGGTTATTTTGAGAACTGACAACCTGCACACAAAATGTTCAGCACCGTGTTTGCCACACAGTAGCTCTCAGTAAGTATTTGTCGAATGAGTGAAAGTGGAAAATACAAATAAGTGAAAACACTCGCAACATTACAGCCAGGAAATGGCTGTTATAATACCAATTAGATGCATAACCTTCCAGAATTTTTTTCTATGCATATAAAGATTTATATTCCTACTAAAATGGGGTCCTATTATATATAACTATATTTTTCAGTAGTGTTTCTTTATTTTATTTAAATATACCATTCACTTACTATAAAATTCACGTTTTAAAGTGAACTGTAGAAGCAAAATGACAATGGAGCCATGTTTACGGTTTTAAGGAGAAAGGATCATGGTTCTACACTGTTGCACGTGGCTCTCTCTGAAGGGGCAACTTACCCAGGCAGCCAGAAAGATTAGCTGGCTGAGATCCGACTAATTTTAGGGAACCACAACAAACAAGGTGAAGTGAGGAGGGGGAAACAGGAGGGGAACTGTCTGTATAGTTCAGTGGTTTTTCGTATATTCACAAAGTTGGACAAACGTCTCCACAATCTTACCCCAGAAACGTTTTGTCATCCCCCAAAGAAATTTCACCCACTGGAGGTATTCTTCATTTTCCCTCATCTCCTCCTTCCCCAGTGCTTGGCAACCACTAATCTACTTTCTGTCTCCATGGATTTGCCTATTCTGAAAATTTCATATTTAAAAAAAAATCATACAATATGTGGCCTTTTGTGCCAGGCTTCTTTCACTTAGCACATTGTTTCCAAGATTCATCCATGCTGTAGCATGTTCTTCTGACTGAATAGTATTCCACTATTTTATTTTAGTAGACTGATTTTATTTATACATTCATCAGTTCGTGGACATTTGGATTGTTTCTGCTTTTTGTCTAGTATGAATAATGCTGTTGTTCGTGTACAAGTTTTTGTGTGGACATGTTTTCAATTCTCCTGGGTTTATACCCAGGGGTGGAATTGTGCTAGGTCATATAGTAACTGATTGACTTTTTGAGGAACTGCAAAACTGCTTACCAAAGCAGTCATGACAATTTCATAACCTGTTTTCTCCCCCTTCACAATAGATCATGACTGCCTTTTCTTGTCAACATACAGGTAGTAACATCACTGCTTTGAGTGAATACATAGTATCTCCTTAGCCAGCTGCAACAGAGTGTATTTAATGAATTATCCATTGCTGGACATTTAATGATCCTATGCAAGAAACTTTGAGTATCCTCCTCATATCCCCAGCAATTTGCAAATGACACTTTCCCAGGTGTACCCAGAGCACTTTGTAGCCCTCTAATTTGATGTTTTCACATTGCATTGCAAGTCCCTCACCCCTGCCCCGATCCCTTGTGGACACCTGACTTGTCCACTAATGGTGAACTCCTTGGGAAGATGGGTAGTCTTGAATTTGTCTTTGTATCCATAACACCAGCCAAGTGCCAGGCATTTTGGTACATGTTCAAGAATAAATGGATATACAGATGAGTAATTAGAGCCAAGGACTATGGAGAGATGGGGTTTGTTTTTACATTCTGTCTCCAAATCCCTGCTTTGAAGAGTAGTGAGTTCCCTGATACTGGAGGTGTGTGACAGGAGGCTGGGTGAGTTGGCAAGAATATTATGAAGCTAATTTAAGCATCAGAAAGGAGACTGGGTGAAATTTAAGATCGCTCCCAAACTTGGGAGCCTAGAATGCTATGAAATACAAGCCCGGGGAAGCTAAGAGTTGCCACCTAAGTCACCTAGTTAAGCACTTGCAGGGCTGTGGGTTGCTCTAAGAATTTCAAGTTTGGTCTGAGGACCGGGGATGAAAACCTCCTCTTGCCAAGCATCTGCCTGCTTGTGCCTGCCTTTAAGGCTCACAACCCACTAAGCTTAGAGTCCTGCGAGGGAGAAACCCTTATGTAACAAGTTGTCGGTCGAGTTTGTCGTTGTCTGTAATCAGAGCGTTCAGTTCAGACTGTTTAGATAAAAGGAGGTAAACTCTGGTCGGGCGTGGCTTGGAGGTCCCGAGAGACGCTAGGGAGATCTCTGGAAGGGAAGAGCTTTTCTCTGTCTCACGAGTAGGCCATCGGGCTGCCGGGGCGGGACAGCTGGGGGGCGGGACAGCGCAGCCGGTGGAGCAGCACCGAGACCTCGCAGGCCCGGGAGCTGCTGTCCTTCCACGATGAGGCTCTACGCTCTGGTCCTGGCCATTGTCGCCGCGTCCGCGGCTTGGGGTGAGTCTTTCTGAAACACAAACATCGGGACACATTTGGAAATCCCAGTTGGGGGCCGAGGTGGGCGGAGATGCGTTTAAGCGCAAGGGCACAGTGGGCCCGGTTCCGCCAGGGCGCGCCTCCTCCGGACTTGAACTTGGACTTGGTGCAGCGGAGCTCAGCCAGCCCAGGCCGGCGCCGAGACGCGGGGGGAGGATAACCGCCCCCGACGCGGGAGGTCAGCGAGCTGACCTTACACCCCACACGTGGGGACTCTAGAGAGCTCAATTCATTTCCCCTTGATTGTTAGTCCAGACATGACCGAATTATGGAGAGTAGCTTAGCAGGATACCAAAAGCATCGACTCTGGAACCAGGATGCCTGAGTCTCAATCCTGGCCCAGTCACTTCCTAGCTGTGTGTCCTTAAGCTAGGCACTTAACTTCTCTGTGCTTGGGTTACCCTATCTCTAAAATAAGCACGACGGTAGTACTTACCTCCCTGGGCTGTTGTGAGGATGAAATGGGCTGTCATTTCTAGAGCACTGAGGATAGTGTCTGCTACAGAGGAAGGGCAAAAAATGGATGGATACATACAGGGGCTGTTTTAACGTGGGGTATATTCATAGAAAATGTGAGGTTGGTCCGGCCAACATACCAGGAGGCATTTGCCTGGAAAAGATAGTTTGTTTTCACAGTTCCCAGGAGGAGGGGATGCACACCTGGGGTGGGGGTCGGCACAAGGGAAAGCACCAGAGCCCAGGAGTCAGGGGGAGAGGGGACCTGTGAGCAAGGGCAGTTATTGTGGTTTTTGCGGGAGGAAGAGACTAGGCGAGGCAGGCATATTAGGATTGGCTAGTCTGAATAATTTCAGGGGGCTTTGGGGTCACAGGGACTGTCCCTAGTAGTCTGGTGGTACCTGGCTGTAGGGGGATTAGGGAATAGTGTGGCCTAGGGTATGAGAACCCAACACAGGAGGTGGTTGGGGTGGGCGCTGGATGGGCAGGACCCTGGGAGGGACAGTTTCTCCAGCGTCAGCTGGGCTTAGGTGTCAAAACATCAGAACACAGAAAACAAAATACATGGCCGTTATGGGGTGCGGGGAGGGACCTCGAAGTATATATGTGCCATTTTATAGATGGAGAAACTGAGGATCAGAGAGAGGGAAATATCCTTGCAAGGTTCACTGGAAAATCATGTCCTGGTCTGTCTCTGGCTTGTGAATCCAGGGCCAGTGTTCTGGCCAGCCATGCCCTGACAGCCCAGGCCCTTTCTGGATTCTGTCTTCCTTTTGGCAGTGTGAAACTGTGAGAGGTCTGGAGCTCTGTGTAAGCTCAGAGTAAGAAAGAAAACACATTTGGAGTGGAACATCCCCCCACCTCCTGGCAATGCCATCTATTTCCATCTTTAGGAAGTCCATACAGGCAGCTTCCATTTCCTCAGTTTCCAAATCTGTAAAATGAGCATGTTAACTCCTACCTTGCAAGGCTTTTTTGAGGATTAATTTAAATGAACAGGAACGTGTGTTTGGCATGTAGTAGGTGACCACTGTGTACATGTGTACACAGTGTATACATTACATATAGCATAAGTGGTGACTGCTCTTGTTCCCATTATTGTTTGCTCCTGCCGCCATCCACCCTTGACAATCTGGCTTCTGTCCACTTCACCTCTGTTGAGAGTTATCACTGAGCTGATAAAGGCTGGGCACAGTGGACTCTTCTCGACCTCTCTCCTCCTCCGCCTCTCTGAAGCACTCAGCAGTCCTAGCCAGCCCCTCTTCCTCATCCCCCCTAGGGCATCCATGATGCCCTGATGTCCTCTCCCCTACCCTCCCCCCTGAAGGATATTCTCAGTCTCAGCTGTCTCTGTCCCTGTGATTCCTCTTAGCTCTTTCTCTTCTCTCTCACCCTGGCCTCTTTGACGAAGTCACTCACATCCATGGTGTGCACCGCCCCCCCGTCAGATGGATGATCCTACCCTGGCTCCTCACCTAACCTTCCAGTCTTGAAGTGCTCACACCCTGTGGCATCTTCTTGCCAAGATATCTCACTGACATGTCCCCTGGACCTGTTGAAACTGGGACTTAGCCTCACAAGTCAGTTCTTTGATCTTCTTTCCCTTCCACATCCCTTCCCCTCCTCTGGTCAGGGACAACATCCTTCAAATGTTATAGAAGGATGTTGTAGACCGCCATATTTCTTCATTAAAAATTTATTCTAGTTATAAAAAGGAATCTATGTTTGATGTAGAAAACTCAGAAATCACAGAGAAAAAAGTAACCTGTGATGCCACCACCCTTTGCTATTTTGATTTTGGTGTTATTTGTAATAATTAGCAGCAACAATAAAGTAAAATAATCTAAAATGTTCACAGTATGGGATTGGCTATTAATAACATAAATCATGGATACTGTTTTGTAATGAGCTTTGCATAAAGAATTTTCACTGTCATTGAATATGCTCCTGTAAGACCAAATCTGGATTATTATTTTCTGTTCTGGCTACACACTTTGAAGGAGGAATGCCTCCCTCAATCAATAGATGTTTTGTCTGTGTCCAAAGCAGAGGAACTGGGAGGGCAAAAGGCTAGAAATAATTTTCTTGGAGGGATGCTTAGACAAACTGAGGTCATGGAGGCCAGGCAGGACACGAGGGCATGACAAAGTGTCTGGAAGGCCATCTGCCACAGATCAGGTTAGGTTAGTATGGTCCCATTGCAGGTAGGACCAGGACTGATGTGGAAGCTGTGGGAAAATGTGTTTCAGCTCAATGAGAAAGAATTGTCTTTCTGCAAGAATGGAACAGGCACGTCCAGGCACAGTGGCTCAAGCCTGTAACCCCAGCATTTTGGGAGGTGGAGGCAAGAGGATTGCCTGAGCCCAGGGGTTCTAGGCCAGCCTGGGCAACTTGGCAAGACCTTGTCTCTACAATAAAATAAAAATATTAGCCGGATGTGGTGGCACATGCCAGTGGTTCCAGCTATGTGGAAGACTGAGGCAGAAGGATCACCTAAGCACAGCCGTGAATGTGCCACTGCACTCCAGCCAGAGCGACAAAGTAAGAATCTGACTCAAAAAAAAAAAAGAAAAAAAAAAGAATGGGAAAGGTTCTTGCCTGTCCTCTGGATGACCTTTCTCAGGCCCACCAGAAGAATCTTCTTCAGGCTTGTCACATCCTTTACTCCAGAACTTTTCCTACTGCTTATTAGTCTACTAAATAAAACCCAAGCCCTTAGCCTGGCATTCTGGGCCCTCCCTGACATGCACTCTCTCACTCTGGAATTATTTCCCACCCCCCTAGACTCCATCTACTGCACAGGGGCCAAATGCCCTCCTAAGGCGGTCTCTGCACTTTGCTGTCCCCCGAGCCGGGGCACAGTCTCTTCTCTGATCAATCGTCCTCTCACTTCCACCTCTTCCATGATACCACCAATCAGAAAGCCCTGCCCCCTCCTAACTCCTGTAATGCCTTACTGGTACTTCTCCCAGGACACGACTACTTCCTTCCCAGTGTCAGGGTCAAGTGTATATGTGGCTCATTCTCCATACAGGCTCCATGCTCCTGAGAACAGGGCCACCTCCTGTTCATCATCTCATCCAGCATGTGGTTCAGTGCCAGCTCTTAATGGATAAATATTTCTAGAGGTTTCTAAGAGGGAAACGCCATGTCTTATTCCTTCCCAGCAGCTCTCTTTCTTGTGTTTATTTTTGAGTGGATGCTTTTCCACCTCTTACTTCCATTTGGTCCTTAAAACAGCTCCATGAAGTGGGAAGGACGGTTATCCTCTCCCTATTTTACATAAGAAGAAACCGAGGCCTAGAGGGTTTAGGTGACTTATTCAAGGTCACATGCCTAGAAAGTGGCAAAACTCACCTATCCCCTCTGTTGCATTCTCCTTTTCTCTCAATGTCTAGCAGGGCACCCGTTCTCGCCACCTGTGGTGGACACCATGCATGGCAAAGTCCTAGGGAAGTATGTCAGCTTAGAAGGATTTGCACAGCCTGTGGCTATCTTCCTGGGAATCCCTTTTGCCAAGCCCCCTCTTGGATCCCTGAGGTTCACGCCACCGCAGCCTGCAGAGCCATGGAGCTTCGTGAAGAATACCACCTCTTACCCTCCCATGTGAGTTGGGGAGCTGGCTTTGGGGTTGGTTGGGCTTCAGTGGGTATGTTTGTCTCAAAGTGAGTCAAGGCCTGATTGGCTTGTGCTTTGCTGTGGAATCCTTAAAAACACTGTAGAACCTTAAGAACTTTCTGGAACTCTCACAGCATTCTATTGTCCCTTATTTAACACATATTTATTGAGCACCTACTGTGTGCACGGCATGTGCTAGGTTCTTGGGATCCATGAATGAGCAAAGCAAAGATCCCTGCCTTCATGGGGCTTCATTCTAGCAGGGGAGACAGATAATAAATGACATGCAAATTAATAACTGAGCAGTGTAATATTTTAGAATGTGATAAGTGCATTGGAGAATAAGAAGTAGTTGAGCAGGTGAAGGGAATCAGAAATAATGATCCTATTAATTCTGTGTTGAACCTTGACCTGTTTGGGGAGTCCAGGGGTGTTGACTTGACAAGTTCTCAGCTCCCAGGTGTGTCTAGCTACCTATTCACGGTGTGCACAGTCACCCTGGCCAAGCTAGTCAAAAAAGTCCAAAGGTCCCAGTTGGCCTCACAGCTGTCCCCCAGGGTACCTCAGACACTACATGTATCAGTTCAGTCCTCATTCGTCTCCCAGCAAGTTATTTCTGAGGACTTCCATGATCCTACCTCTGGCTGCCTCCTTTTCTTTTAAAAACAATATTCACTATGTATACTTTCTGATTGCAAATGTAATGCATGTTTATTACAGAAAATGTATGAAGTACAGAGAAGGAAAAGTGAGAAAATTAAAAACGCACAGTTCCATCACCCAAAGGAACTGCTGTTCATATTTTAGATGATGTCTTCCCAGTCTTTTGTCTGTTGAGCACTTTCGAATCCCTTGAAAACTGAATCCTATGTACAGATAGGATGCCTGCTTTGCTCATTTGTGAGTATACCATGAATATCATTCTATGCTATAAAATAGCACAGACTGATGTTGAATAGCTGCATGACCGTGGGTATTCAACTGTAATTAATTTACTCAGTCTCTTACTTGGGGTTATTAAGTTTTTTTTGATGTTTTTAATAATATAAATAGCACTATGATGTACATCTTGTAACTACATCATTATGCACTCTCATGAGTATTTTAGAACAAGTTCCAAGAAATGACATTTTCAGTCAAAGAGCATGTACCTTTTGTTAAATTTCCCTCCAGGAATGTTCCAACTACACTCCTTCCACTGATACATGAAAACCTCTACTCGGCGGACTCCTGCCAATACTTAGGGTTATTAAAATAATGTTTTTTGGCTATTGGATAGGCACACTGATAATAATAAATCTTATTTTGCTGTTCATTTTGCATTTATCTGAGCACTAGTGAAGTTGAACTCTTTTCCCTTTTTTGACATCTGAATTTATTTCTTTAATGACGATTATGTCCCTTGCTCTTGGTGAGCTGGGGAAATTCTCCAGGGTGGAAACCAGTAAGTCATCTTTGCTGTCTCTGATTCCGCTACTTGACAGTTGTGTCATCCTGGCACCTGAGCACCACAGCTTTCATATTTGCATAATGGGGACAGTGATGCCTGCCTTCTGGGTATATTAAGATATTGGATTATTGCTTCTAAGCTACTTAGAAATATAAGCACTACATAGCATAGATCCTCCTGACTGTGTGACCTTGGGCAGGTTCTCTAGACAGCCTGTGCCTCAGTTTTTTAATCTGTAAAGTGGGGACAACAGTTGAGCCTATGTCATGGAGCTGATCTGAGGCTTAAGTGAGTTAGTACATAAAACAGTACCTGGCACACTGGGAGGACTCAATAACTATTACCAATTTTAATCTATGTTGAATCTTTGAGATCATTCATCAGGGCAACCAACAGTGCTTGCCTGGGCTGGGTTGCTGGTAGAATCTTGGCATGTGAAGGCTACAAAATCCCTATAGAAATCACTCCCCTCACTTGACCTGGCAGATTGGGGCCCAGAGCAGGAAAGGAATTCATACAGAGTCACCCAGCTAATGAATGGCTGAGACATCCACAGTTCTGATGCTCTTTGTCCTGCAGAGATTTTACCCCTGACCTGTTGCAGGAAATGTCACCTCCTCTCCTTGACCCAGGGCATGCTAAAGGTTCTGAGAAGGGAAGAGGTGCCAAGGCCTTTTTGTTCTGCTTGGTCTTGGGAGACCTCAGTGAGTCCCGGAGCCTCCACCTAGGCCCCCTAGAGAGCTTCTCCCTGTTCCAGTGTCCTGAGTCCGGCAATAGCAAGTCCATTTCCAGGCTTACATCTCCCACTCCAAGGCCCGGCCTGGCCCCAGGAGACACCTGCCTTAGATGTGGCTGAAGCTCAGGGCTTCTTCTTTACCCCTCCCCAGGTGCTCGCAAGACGCAGTAGGGGGACAGGTGATTTCTGAGATCATCACCAATCAAAAGGAGAACATTCCCATCAAGTTTTCTGAAGACTGTCTTTACCTAAATATCTACTCTCCTGTTGACTTGACAAAGAAGAGCAGGCTGCCGGTGAGCAGTGGGAACTCCTAGCCAAGACTTGCTGGTCTGGCACCCTCAGATCTCCTGGTGCAGACTGGAAGCGAGAAAAGGCAGATTGGGGCAGGGGCAGCACAGGCCAGGATTGCTTCAGGGACAGGAGGGTTTCCTTTGCCCATAGGGAACACAAATTTCCCAGACCTCAGTTTCCCCAGGTGACACAGGGCATCTGGGGGAGCTTGCTATACATCTGTAATGCACATCTTACTTATTCAAAGTTCTCTCATGCTAATAGAAGGACTAGAATAGATTATTCCCTGCTACTAGATTAAGAATCTGATATTCAGGACACATACAGTAATTTCCAATAATGTTAGAGCTGGAAGGAATCTTAGAAGAAAGCCAACAACCCAAATCTTCCTTTACAGGCAGAGAAACTGACGGTCAGACGGGGGAAGGGCAGTTCCCACAGTGGTGTAGGATTGGCTCAGGTCTCCTGATCTTCAAACTAGTGCTCTTTGACATGTACTAGGAAACTGAGCACGTGTGTGGCCTTTCCCCGGCACACCAAGATACGTCTGTGACAACTTTCACTGTCCCATGACAGAGGTATCGGAAGCGGAGCCCGGAACAATCCCAGAAGCATTTTCTTTTGCCTTTGGACAACTATCTGGGATTTTGTTGCAGCCTTCCCTTTGGCACAGGCTGATGACCCAGTGAGTCAGCATTTCCCAAATAAACGAAGGGCCAGGGCTAGGGCCAGGGACAGGGCAGGCTGCCAATTGCAGGCTGGAGGCGGGGCAGGGGCGGGGGATTACTGGAAAAAGATCCCTGGGGTGGAAGGAGGAGGAGTGTTAGCACCCAGCCAATCTCCCAGGAACACCCTGGCATGGTACCCATGAGTGGGGGAACAGCTATGTGAACTTGGGACTCAAAGCTAGCCCTACATGCGCTTTATAGGACATAAGAAAGGGGGGACAAATGCTTGCTCTTTCATGTGTCCATTCTTCTGTTATGCACTCAGTGCCCCATACACATAGTTGGACTTGGTGGTCAGGGAGAGGAGGAACATAAAACCAATACCATGCAACCCTGCCCTCAAGGGTCTTGCCATCTGTACAGACGTATACTAACTTCAGCATACAATTAATGACCAGCCCAGGGGCTCAGCCTTCACTCAAAGATGACTGTAAACTCAATTCCTTCTCGGGAGGTAGGCAGCCATCAGAGAAACAGGCTCTGGGAACCTGTAGGCAGCAGCACCTGTTATGGACACAGGTTGAAGTTCTGATTCTCCCTTTGACTAGCTGAGAGACTTGGACAGTTTTTCCACTTCTCCAAGCCTCTGCTTCCTCAAAAAGGGAGTAATCACAAGTAGGTGTTCCATGATATCTACCAAGCGTTAACCCAGTTCCTGGCAAGTTCCACAAAGCAAGCACTTGTGAGGTGTTAGAGTTGAAGGGAGGATATTACCCCTAGGCTAACATTGTAGCTGCTGACTGCAGTGTGCTGAGCAGCTCAACATGTGGACCCCTGAGCCGACTGTCTGGGTTCAAGTCTTGCTTCTGACACTTATTGGCTACGTGACCTCAGGCAGGTTAAGTGTCTCAGTTTCCCCATCTTTCAAATAGGATAACATTAGTACCTACTTCATGGATGGTTGATTTTAAAGTGCTTAGAACAGTACTTAGTATGTAGTTTATGAGATCTTTTATTTTTTATTAACAATATTATAATGTTATTATTTTTGCCACTCTCACTTCTTTCCTGCTGTATGAGCTCTTTAAATGCAAGAGCCAAAAAATAAAAATTAAAAAATAAAAAATACAAAAAAATACAAGAGCCATGGATTATGAATTGTATCCACTCTCGACTTCAGTAATTATCACAGTCCCTGGCACATAGTAGGTTCTAAGATGTTAGTCAAATGATTGAAGACTTCCTGGAAGAGGTGAATTTTAGCTGGGCTCTGGAGGATGACTAGGATTTGGGGATGCAGAGGAGGCAGAAAGAAGGCATATGAGGAAGAGATACCATCGTGGGCATATGTGCCTCATGAGGTACTCATTCATGCACAGAAAAGTTTATTCACCAGGAAAAAGTTTACTGAAATGAAGTAGAAGCCCTGAGGGGTGGCCCATGGGTGTGCTGAGCTGGAGGAATGGTCTGAGCATGAGGGTGACAAGAGAACTGGGAAGAACACGACATCCTTAGGCTTTGCTATTCACTTGATGTTCTCGGTGTGAAGAGCTTTGGAAGGAGGTGGCACTGGGTCTGGAGAGGAAGGCAGGGGCAGCCAGGGTGCATTGAGTGGAGTGAGGACTGAGGCCCTACCCAGGAGAGTTAGGGAGGAGAAATGGTGTTTTGCAACCTTGCTGGGCCCTGGTGAACTTTGAATCATGGCCTCCTTGAGTCATGGTTAAGAGGTAGGTGACCAAACCAGACAACCTCAGAATCCTCCCCAGCTCTGCTTCCTATGACCAGTATGGCTGCTTCCACCTTGCCCAGGTAATGGTGTGGATCCACGGAGGTGGCCTAATGTTGGGCGGGGCATCGACCTATGATGGAATGGCCCTCGCTGCCCATGAAAATGTGGTGGTGGTGACCATTCAGTACCGCCTGGGCATCTGGGGATTCTTCAGGTAAGATATTGGACTTTCTGTCCTGCACTTTGGCTCCCAAAGCAGGATGCTCAGTCCCAGTCCTGGTCACGTCAGCCCTTAGAGGACCTTTGCCAAGTTTCTTAAGAAGACATCCAGTTAGGTTTTCCTGCAGGATATAGTTGCCACGAGACTTTTCTGAGTGTTCATGCCCCAGCACCCTTATCCTGAGATGGCTAGGGGAGAGTTCCACCCACTAGTGGGCAGACTGAGGCAGCAGGAACACGGGTTCTGGTCTGCCTGACAGCATGGCATCCCAGGCCAGTCACAGCTGTATCACCATCATTGAGACTATTACGTCCCTTACACCCATGGCCCCTGTCTCTGCTCCCTGTTACAGTAAAACTGCTTTGCCGTCTCTCCACTTCCTCTCCTTTCCATGCCTGTTGTTTTTCACCTGACCATATCACTGCGCTGTCCCCTTTCAGGTCACTAATGACCTCCACCCTCTCTCAACCCAACCTCACACGGCCTCTCAGCAGCGTCCACAAATGGCCACTCAAGCCTCTTTTGACAGCTTCCTTCTCAGTCCTTTGCTGGTCCTTCCTCCCCATCCTCTCTCGCTCCACTAATTCTGAGTGATCTCAGGGGGCACTGCCAGGGCTCCCCGTTTCTAGTCCACCTCTCCTTTGACCCAGATTCCTATCACTAACTGCCTCCTCTGTCTCCACTGGCTGTCTAGGGTACCTTCTTCTTCCCACAGGCAAACTGAACCCTTGACTCCTCCCTAACAGAGATACGCCCTTCCTCCTATAGTGCCTCCCTCTCGGAAGCTATGAAAAAAGACCTTGTGGGTAGCCCGGACTGTTTTTCTCACGCCCCACATCCAGTGGGCCAGCAAATCCTCTTGGCTCTACGTTTAAAGTATACTCAGACTCCAACTACTTCTCACCTCCTCCCTTGCTTCCACCCTAATCAAAGCCCTCTGTCTCTCATCTGTATTATTATAATAACCACTTACTTTTAGAACCCTGCTACTTGTTATGCTGTGACTGATCCACACAGTAACCACGGTGATCACTGAAGACATAGATTGAATCATGTCATGCCTTTTCTTTTACCCTGTTGTATTTCTCCTCAAAGCACCTTTACTGCCTGATGTTATACTCCATATTTTTCTGCTTATTTGTGGTCTGTAGCTTGGGGTCAGTGTAGTCAGAAATGTTGCCTATTTAGTTCTCAAATGTGCTCTGGCTCTTAGGATGGTGTTGGAGAGACCCAGATAGGAGATGCCCAGTTAATAGTGGTTGGATGAATGAATGTAGAGCCCGCAACAGAACAACAGAGAAGTGGAAGGCAGTGAAGACCCATGTATCAGGGATGTGGAATCCCAGCCCTACTCCAGAAGGCTCACCAAGACCCCCTAGCCCCATCTGTGATCCCAAGAGCCCTGCTGTGACGTCTCTGCTCCCCACCCTTACCTGTTCTCTTACAGCACAGGGGACGAACACAGTCGAGGGAACTGGGGTCACTTGGACCAGCTGGCTGCGCTGCACTGGGTCCAGGATAACATTGCCAACTTTGGAGGGAATCCAGGCTCTGTGACCATCTTTGGAGAGTCAGCAGGAGGTGAAAGTGTCTCTGTTCTTGTAAGTGTTCCTCGCACTAAGCACTCCCACCAGGCTTGATGTGGCTCTTGAGGGGCTGCTGAAACCCAAGGGGTGGTCCTTGCCACCTCCAGGAGAGATCTCCTCTTTAGAAATTGAGGAATGACATACCAGTGTGGAAGGCATTTCCTCTTTTGAACTCAAAGTGTGACACAAAGGCACTTCCTCTTTCGAAACTGAGCACCTTTTAGCTAGAACAGTAAGCAAATTCATAAGTTGAGCAAAAGTATCAGAAGATAAAGAAAGAACGGAGGGCTCAGCCTCTTTCATAGGCAGGCTAGAAGGCTCAGGAAACTCAGTCACAGACGCTCGGGTAGCCACAAATATCTCATCATTGTGATACCGAGCAGCAGCCTCATCCTGCTCCTGTTGAAAATCTTTAGGAGGGTGTCTTTCCTGATCCTCATGGGCACCGAAAGCAGGAGCTGAGGGGGAACACCGCAACGAGGGAGGTGTCTGCTCCGCTCTATGAGACTCAGGAGAGGAGTCTAAGCAATCCCTTACTAGGTTCCACAGAGATAAAGCATCTACTGGCACAGCTTCAGGATCGTGTGTTTAATAATAATCCTTCAAATGATTACCCACCTTTTCCCAGGTAATCAGGCTAACTGTCCCGGCCACAGAAAACATCAGGGACATACTTCCTCTACAAACTGAAAAAACCTATCTAATTGTCTATCTGTAACCTTAGTTCCTCTAGCTTTCAGCATAGATTTTAACATCTGACAAAGAGAGTGTGTTCCTTAGAATGTAACTGTCCCATTTTTACTCCCAATGACTAATCCTCAGTACTTACTTAATGAATCACAAAGCCGGCTTCCACGAGGGTTCCTTTCCAGTCAATGCTGACCCCAGTACTCAGGTCCCAGTTTGGGCACCACTTGCAGAGTTCCAGCCTCTGCTGACCAGGGCCTGAGGTGGGGGGAGGGAATAAGAAAAGAAAGACAAAGAAACAGTGGAATTAGAAGGTCTCTCTTCTCAATAGAGAAGAGGGAGGGAGGGAGGGAGGGAGAGAGAGAGAGAGAGAGAGAGAAAGAGAGAGAACGCATTTATTTTCACAGTATGCCTCTTATATAGGGCAAAACTACACAAAAGAGGGCAAAACCACACAAGCAGGATATATGTTAATGTGTAAACTAAATCGCACAAGCAGGGTAAGTATTAATGGCTAAACTATGCCTATCTTAACATCTATGCTTTCTAGGTTAAAAGCAAGGCAGTTGCTAAGAAAAACAGCCTCTGGGCTAGCCATGGTGCCGCTCTGCCATCCATAGAATAGCAACCAAAGGTCAGAGACTCCCAGCACCTCCCAGCACAAAGGAAATATAGGCTTGGTTCCTTGAACACAAGCTAAGAAACCTAAGGACCTTGTCAGCTTATATTCTGGTTTCCTTCCGTGGTTGCTGTTGGGACCTCTTAGAGACCGGTCAATCCAAGGCCTTACAAAACCTGGATTCAAGACTGCCCCTACTCGTTGCCCAGCATCAGATAGTAAAGTGCTAAGGACCAACTCTCATTGGCCCCCAGGAAGTTCAGTGCTCAACTTAATGTCGTGGGGTCATAATCTGCAATGGTGACATTGTCCCAACCTGCAATGGTGACATTGCTCCTTTTCTAACCTGGTTGAATTCTCTCTCTCTCTCTCTCTCGCTCTCTCTCTCTCTCTCTCTCTCTCTCTCTCCTTCCTACTCATTCTAACACTAGGACTTGCTTCACTTCTCCTGGGAAGTAGGGATGGGTATAAGTTATGAATAAGTGGAGGCATGAGAGTTGGACAGAGGTCATTATTTGGCTTGAAGCTGAATCTATATGTCTAGGGAATGCAGGCACTAAGGGCAGACCAGGGCTTCCTCTGAGGTGATCTGATGGCTGATCCATGCCCAGGAGGGAGGCAGAAGTCTCTAGGCCTGAGGGACAAGGTGGACTGGGGGAAATGAGTGGGAGGAAGGAAGGGTGGGAACGGGGAGGAGTGGGACAGGGCATGTGAGAAAAGACACAGCCAGCTCATGGGATGGCCTACTGATGTAGGGAATGGGGCTGGGAAGACAATGGGGGAAGCTGGAATGGAAAACCAAGTTAGAAGGTGCTGGGAGCTGTAAGAAGCCCTTGAGCAGAGGGTCAGCCATATTTTATTGTATTATGGATTCATAGTTGATGATTCAGATGAAAATATTTTTATATTTTTTAACGTAGAGAAAAAGGAAAAATTCAGGTAAGCCCAAAGAAGAAAAACGTCATCCACAATTCTATTACCCATTAATAGTCACTGTGGTCATTTTGACTCGTATTTTTCTAGTCTTTTTTCATGACTCACTCAGTCTATCATCATTTTTATCAAAAAAACTTTTCTAAATATTATAGTATAACATAAATATTTTCCTAAGTGTTAAACGCTCTTTTATAATTTTCATAATACAATTATCTTTTGTAATTATATTATATTATTATCTTTTATAATTGCCCAGTATTCCATGGTAAGGATGAAAATCAATTATTTACCCAATCTCATAATATGGGAACCTTGGGGTTTTTGTTTTTGTTTTTAATTCTTGACATTATAAACAACGTGAACATTTTTAGAAATCTTTGTGTACCTCCACGGCCATTTTTTTAAGGATAAATTCTGAGTAACAAATCAAAACTTATGGCTAGGAATTGCCAAGCTGTCTTTCTGGTACTTTTGGTAGTTGTGATTGGCGAGTGCCACCCACTTCCTGTTCTGTGTCTCGCCCTGTGCTCCAGCTCTATCCCACTGAGGTTCTTGTGGGGAAACTGAGCCCCAGGTGGGCCTGGGAAGCAAGCCAGGTGAGGGACCATCATGTCTACTGAGCCTCACAGTCTTCAGGGGAATGGGTCAGGACAGAGCTGTGGATGGATGTAGCATTAAGATAAATGTGTCGGGGATTGCATCTCTGGAGGCATAAACTCTCTTCTTCCCACTGTCCTCCAGGTTTTGTCTCCCTTGGCCAAGAACCTCTTTCACCGGGCCATTTCTGAGAGTGGTGTGGCCCTCACCTCTACTCTGGTCAAGAAGGACGTCAAACTCCTGACTGAGGTAGGTTGCATGCTGAACACACCCCTGGCTTGAGCTCCTGGGATCCTCAGGAGTCTTTCTTGCCATAGGGTCCAGCTGCATTCTTGAAGAATTACTGAAATGGGAATGGCTGAAGGAGAAGGGCAAGGAGACACCTTGCTCAATCTCCCAACTGTACAGTTGAGCAGGTTGGGGCAGAGCACGGACGTGTGACCAACCTCAGGTCCAGCTGCTTGTTTCTCGAAAGCCAAACTCAGGAGACAAGGGTGGGTGAAAGGAAGATAGGTTTATTCCATAACCAGCAGCCTGAGGAGATGGCGGACGAATGTCTCATCTGTTGGAGGGTGTTTAAAGGGGAAGAGCTTAGGGAAAACTATGTGGAGAGGTTGGGATCAAGAGGTGACTGACAACCACGGACATCTGGGTGTCAGCAAGGGTCCAAGGAGATTGGGAAGCTTTTTTGTTCTCGGTCAGGTCACAATGTTCCTAAATATTTGACAAAGCACAATAGTGTACATACTTTCCCTTTTTTCTAGAGTTAATATCGACAGATATGTACTCTATGTTCCAACGTTATTTTTTCAGCGTTTTAAAATCACTCTAGTCTACATGCAAGCACAGGTAAAGGGCCCTTAAACAAAAATGGAGTAATTTACATTAGTTCTTTTGCAGTTTCACTATTACAGAATTGATTTGCCAAGGTCACCATGTGACCAGGGCAGAGCTGGGGCTTAAGTTTGTGACTCTGGATGGCCAGGGAAAGGCACTGGCAGTGACCACACTTGTTAGAGTACACCAAGGCAGGACACCACACTGGGCAGTGGCAGTGGGCTGTGTAGATGTCTTGTGTCCTGCAGGTTCTGAATTCTGGTGTATCACTTGCAGGATGAAGGCCTGGAGTGGATCCTCACAGAGGGCTTAGAATTGAAGTTGATTCTTGGGGAATTCATTCATTGAGTCCTTCATTACAGCATTTAAATTCTTCCTTTAATACAGCCAGTAATAGGACATGAAAATGAAATGATTCTGTAAACCAATCAAAATATGTCACGTAGGCATTGTTCAGGAAAGCCTATAATTTCTGCAGTACTCAGCCAATGAGGAACCAGAAGAGGAACTTGCATTTTAGGGACAAAGTGCTGGTTCTTCCAGCTTCAGTGTGTCTGCACACTCAAGAGACACCCATTCTTGCAAGAATGATATTAAAAGAGCTGCTTCACTCCACCGGGGGGGGGGAAATTATATATATATAGCCAGACACCTAGCAAGCTTGTGAAACTTCCATTCTACTGGAGGAGATAGATTAATAATGACATAATAATGCAAATTAGAAAATGCTAACTATGGCAAGAACAATAACGGAGAAAAACCTGATATAATAACAGAATCCAAAATAAAACATTTAGTCCAGGCAATGTGGGAGAGGGGATTATCAGGAAAGGCTTCCTTAAAAAGTGATCAATGAGTCAGAATCAGAAAGTTGAGCAATAATTTACATGCTGAGTAAAGAATATTCCAGAGAGAGGAATTGGCATGTACAAATGTCCTGTGGCAGGAATTTTTTTTCAGAATTTATTGGTTGTAAGCAACAGATGCCCATTTGACCCAGCTAAAGTCAAGAAGGGGAAATTTGGCCAGTCATGGTGGCTTTTATCTACCTACAATCCCAGTGCTTTGAGAGATCAAGATGGGAGAATCGCTTGAGGCCAGGATTTTGAGACCAGCCTGGACAACACAGCGAGACCCTAACTCTAAATATAAAGAAAAAGTGTACCAAGCGTGGTAGCCTATAATTCCAGCTACTTGGGAGGCTGAGGTAGGAGGATTGCTTGAGCCCAGAAAGTCAAGGCAGCAGTTATGATTGCAGCGGTTATGAGTTATGATTGCACCACTGTACACCAACCCCAGGATGAGAGAGTGAGACCTTGTCTCTTAAAAAAAAAGTGTTTCATTTTGTTTTTTAAAGGAAATACAGGTGGCAGGGATGAGACTGGGCTTTGTGAATAAGCAGGAACCAACAATTGTCAAATGAAGGGAGTACAAGACTCTTTTATTCTTGTTCTTTCTCCTCTCTTCCTCTCCATTCCACCACCTTATCTACTTCTCCCTGTTTCTATTTATTTAATCAACAAATACATAATTGGCATTAATTCTGTACCAGACACTTCTGAGGCTCCGGGGAGTCGTGCACACGCCCTGTGGCCCTGCCATCACCACGCCTGTCTGCTCTGCATCCGAGCCTTCCTCCCCATCCACACTTTGCTTCCAGTTCATATGGCTACTCATCTGTTAGAGTTTGAGAACTCCCCTTGGATTCCAGAAAGTAGTCAGGTTTTCTTCTCTGTTTGGAAAACGAGCATTTTTTACTTCAGCAGATTTTCACCCTGAGTTCAGATCACTTAGAAGAAAAGCTCATTGCCCCATCTTTGCTTAGATGTCCCCTGGCCTCTAAGAAAACCTGGGGGTAACAGTATGCTGGGCAGACTGACCCCCAGTGTCCAAGATAGGCTGAAGTGAGTCTCTCCTTTAGCAGGGTTTTCTCTTTAAATTGTTTTTTTAAGGCAGCAAGAGGTTCTGGGTTGGGGTCAGGGGTTCTCTGTGCACTAGTGATGTTCCTCCTTGGCTTGGCTGGACAAACTCTGACCAGATCTGGCCCTATATATGGCCCATGAGCTAGGGATGTTTTTAAAAAAAATTTTAAGTGATTGGAAAAATAAAAAGATTGTATAACCTGTGAAAATTATATGAAATTCAATTTACAATGCCCATAACTATAGTTTTATTGGAACACAGTGACACTCATTCATTGGTGTACTGTCCATGGCTGTTTTTCATGCCACCAGCAGAGTTGAGAGACCATGTGGTCCCCAAGCCTCAGATATTTATTTGCCCTTGATGAAGACTTTGCTAGCCACTGCCCTAGATAGTCTTGTTTGGTTATTACTTAGAACTCCAAGAATGTGCAGTGAAAACTCTTAGCCATGAAACAGATACATCACTCAGCTGACAAACACCATCTATGCATGAGATGAATGACACAAAATTCTTCTCAGGGCTTGCATTTAAATTACATTTGGTACTTTCTGAAGTGTCTTGGTGTGAATCACCTTACCTGAGTCTCCTGCAATTCTGTACGTGTTTTGGTGTATGGGAGAGACAGTACCCTCCTATGCCCGTCACATGTATTAACTCACAAGGTAGGCACAGTTATTATCTCCATCTATGAATGGAAAAACTGAGGCACAAAGAAATCAAGTGGCTTTTTTGAGACCAAATGGCTGGTAAGTGGAGGAGTCAGAATTTGAAATCAGACTGAGAATTTGGGATTCCACGCTCTTAACCCCCACTCCACACCCTGTCATGAGACATTCAGCTTTGAGATCATTGTGCCCTTTTTAACAGAGACAGGGTAACAGAGAGACTGTGTACTTGGCTCATGTCACAATTCAGATTAGTACCAGAGGTCACACTCTGTGGGACCCAGAAACAACATGTGTGGTCTGGCATATTTTCTGCCACCTCCTGCTGCCTTCACAAATTGGACTTGGAATAAAACACTTTTTTTGACATGGGTAGAGGGAATTAACTCTGTTGTCTATGATCTTTTCAGCAAATTGCTATCACAGCTGGTTGTAAAACCACCACCTCGGCTGCCGTGGTTCACTGCCTGCGCCAGAAGACCGAGGATGAGCTCTTGGAGGTGACGCTGAAAATGGTAGGTGTGTTGACTCTAGTAGCCCCCACCCTGTACATTTTGCCCCTGGTTTCAGCATTTCAGTTTCTCTCTTGCACTGAAAAAAATCCCTGGGATGGTTTCTCACCTCTCAGGAGTCTTGTATTACAATCCCCCAGCTTTATCAAAGTTCAGTATTTTGCCATTCTTTTTTTAGATGTAATTTTGAGAAATTAAACATGACATATTCTCAGGGGTAACTGCCATTCTGAACTTGGGGGGTGAGGATATTAAGCACAAAGTTTTCAGAAAGATATCAAAATTTGTCCTGGTTGATTTAGAAATGATATTAATTATAGCCCAGTGATGACCCAACTTTCTAGGTTTTCTGAAACTCTCTCTCAGTTGTGATTCTTTTTTTTTTTTTTTTTTTGAATTGGAGTCTCACTCTGTCACCCAGACTGTAGTGCAGTGGCATGCTGGAACTACAGGCGCATGCTACCATGCCTGGCTAATTTTTTTTGATTTATTGTAGAGATGAGGTCTCACTAAGTTGCCCAGGCGGGTCTCGAACCCCGTGGGCTCGGGCAATCCACTCACCTCAGCCTCCCAAGCACAGGATTACTGGCTGAGCCACCGAGCCCGGCTCAGTGTGATTCTAGAATAGCTATCTCTCCAGTCATTCATTTATCTATCGATCGATCCATCATTTTATTATCCATCTAGCCATCCACTAATCCATTCAATTCATTGATATCCTATTCATTGATATCCTTTTATCAATCTAATATCAATCCATCCATGACTTTGCATTCATCTATTTTCAAGTGATCTGGAATCATCCATGTATCACCCAGTCATCTGATAGCTTCACCCATCATCCATTCTTCCAAAATCAGTGATCTATCCATCACCTATATGCTAGTTATCATCCATCTATCCATGTATCCATCCAATTCATCCATATTTCATATATTAACCAACTCCATTCATCCATCCCTCCAACCATCCATCCATTTATCTATCTATCCATTCATGCTGTGCATGGGATGGTGTCAGGGGAGGTGATAGAGACATGAATTGGACATAGTCCCTGCTTACAAGGAACTATCCAAGGAGAAACACACCCACATATTTAGGGGTTTGAATATGATCGGAGTTCAGAGAAGGAAAGCCAGTAGAGATGCGTCACAGAGAAGGTGACTCTTGAGGATTGATGAATGGGTGTGGCAACCTATCATCATAAAAAAGGTCAGCATGACAAACACCTAGAGCATCTAGGGCCAATAGAAACTATTCCCTTTGTGAAAAGGGGTGTTAATTGTGAGCTCAGGAGTAGCCTGAGCCTTGGACTCTCTATCTGGACCCTGGACACCTAAGGATACTCCTAAATCCCCAGAGCAGGGTCCTACTACTGAACTCTGCCTGTATTTCCATGGGTTGTGTCTAATGTGGCCTTGGGGCTTGGATCTGATTCGTTAGGCTCTAGTAAGGAGACTAAGGTGTTCAGAGAATTAATACTCAGTAGTTTCCTAATGTCTGGGTGGAGGCAAATATTTCAGCAATTCTCCATGTGGCATAAGGGGACCCAGTGTATAAGGGAAGAGTTGGTGATTTTGCAAAAACTCAGACCAACAATCCCAGGACATCTTGCTGAAATTTTCTGAGACTTTGTGGGAATGCTTATGGAATTATCCACTGTCCCCAACACACACACATACACACACATGTGCACTGGCTGGCAGGGCTATAATCCATATTAGAGGAACCCTGATTGGTCACCTCCTGCATACAAGCCAGACTTGTTAGCTGTGTTGTAACATTACAATCACTGCAATCTTGGTGAATACACATCAGAGAGAAACATGGGGCAGGATGAATTTCAGTGAGCTTGCAGGAGTCAGGACTTGCTAATGCAAAATAAGAAAATCCATCTCAGGGTGCCTTGAACAGAAAAAGGAATGTGTTGTGATAAAGACTTGAGCAGAAAAAGGAATGTGTTGTGATAAAGACTTAAGGTAACTGAAAAGTCCAAGAGTAGATAGCTTCAAGCATAGCTGGATTCATGCAGATGTTTACATGATGCTTGTGAGAATCTACCTGTCTCAATCCCTCAGCTTTGCACTCCTCTGTGTTGGCTTCATACTCAGGCAGATTCATCCCCTGAGAAGTTAAAGACAACCACACTCTAGACTTCCTCTTTCCAATAATTCCTGCAAAAGTTTTGGGGTCAATTCTTTTGGACTGACATGGGTATGCACCCATCCCCAAACTAGTATCTGTGTTTGGGGAGGTGGGTCATCTCAGGTCATGTAAAGATGCCTGAGTTTATAAAGTGAGAGAGGGGAAGAGGTAACACTCCAAAGAAAAATTGGGATATTGTTGCCAGGGGAATAAGAGAGGAGAGGAATGGCACACAGGGCCGGCACCAACAGCAGGTGTCCTCTCCACAGAGGTGCAGCAACCTGGCTCAGGAGCCTGGGGCCTGTCCTTCCCTCGCTGGTGCCTGCTCCTGCCTTCTACCCTGTACCCCATGCCAAAGCCCAGCAGAGCCGGTGTCCTGCCTGTTTCCTCTTGGCCCAGTCAGGGTGGCACCAGGAAGGAGAACTTGATACTTCTGGTGCCAGCCCTCAAAGATCAGCTTTTCTCCCAAGAAGCTTTTCACCCACATCCTCTCCTTTTGTTTTCACAGAAATTTTTTGCTCTTGATCTTCTTGGAGACCCCAGAGAGGTAAGGAATCTTGGTTTCTTGATTACAGGCTTTGAGTCTTAACACCTTTAAGCCCCAGTTAATAGTGAATGAAAGAGTTCTCTCTTGTGAAGTCATGGTAACTCCTTGTGTGTGTGTATTGCTGAGGCCTGGAGAAAGGCAATGACTAGCCTGGTTAGCATAGCCTAGAGGACCATTCTCCTGCCTCCCATTTCCCTGACTTCCAGTCCAGTGCTCCCAGCCATCATGTCTGTATCCTCTAGGCTCAGCTTACTCCTCTTCTTTCTTATATCTCCTGCTCCCCAAAGTGGCCATGTGGGAGAATGCTGGACTAGAACCTTCCACTGTCGGAAGGCAGAAATAACAGTCTTTACTGAGAAGTACGGATCTCCTAGTAGGCCACGAGGTTGATTAGCTATGGTGGGGAGAGCAGGGCAAGGAGAGCCTAGAATCTTAGTCCTGGGGACACTCCCCTCCTCCCAGTACCCAGGAGATTCCAACAGTGTCTTCCCCATCTCCTTTTCCCTGCCTTCCTACTTCCCAATGGGTTGGCAAGGCTTGGTGACATCATTTCTGCAGCATCTTACCATCCTGCCCTCTCTCTCTGCTCCTTCCCTGGAGACCGTACACTTCCCTGGAAAGGTCTTTTGAGGATTAAATGAGATTCATTCAGCTAAGATTGAATAAGCAATTCCTGTGTGCCAGGTCCTGATTTAAGAGCTGGGGATATAGCAATGAAACAGACAAGACTCCCTGTCCTCTCGGAGCTTTCCATTCCAGTAGGAGGAGAGTGCAATAAAAAACAAACAAAATATGTAACGTGTTTGATGATGGGCTGCTAAAGGTTTGAGTTTGCTGGTGGTTTGAATTTAATTAAGTTAGCAGGGTCGGGGATGACCCAATGAGAAGGTGGTGTTTGAGCCAAGCTCTGGAGTAGGGCCAGAATTCAGCTGTCAGGAAAACGGGAGGAAGCTGAGCCCAGGCAGAGGGAGTGACAACTACAAAGACCCTGAGGCAGGAGGCTAGTTTGGCTCGAGTGGATAGAGTGAGACAGGTTGAAGGCTAAAGAGGTAATGGGAGGTGGGATGTGGGGTGGCAGTCCCTTAAGGCCTTGGATTTTGATTTGGAGCAAGATGGGAAACCCCAGAAGGGTTTTGAACAGATGAGGGCCATGAAATTTGATTTTACAAAGGTTTCTGACTGCTGTGTTGAAAATAGACTGTAGGGAAGGGGCAGGGCAGATGCAGAGACCAGCTGGGCGGCCACTGTGTTGAAATAATCCAGGCAAGGGATGCCAGTGGTTTAAACTAGGGCTGTAGCAGTGGGTGGGTAGTGGGGCGGAGCAGGGGAGGTGATTGGAGCCTTGATATTTTTGAAGGAATAACTGATAGAATTTGCTCTTGGACAGAGTATGAGGTATGAGAAAAAGAGAGCAGTGAAGGATGCTCCAAGTGTTCTGACCCAAGCACGGTCATGCCTGTGGCCCACTCTGGGTGGCAATGGTTGCTGATGCTGGTCTTCCCCCATGGATGCTGCTCTACTCAGGTCCTTGATATCTGTCTCCCGGACTTTTATTACCATCTACCTCCTTTCCCTCCCCATTCCCATGTCCCATGGTGCTGCTAGACTAAATCTTCCTACACAGAGTTAGAGCATGTCACCTCACCTCTTAAAAACCTGACCTTCCTTATAAGACAAATCCTCTTGCCTCCATGGAGTTAGACCTTCAGAACATATCTGAGTGTCCACTATATGCCAGACATTGTGCAGAGTGTGTTCCACCATCTGTCCCTCTCTCCAGTCCTGCCCCACGCATCCCTCCAAGCCCAGGACTCTTTGGAGTTCCTGACATTAGTCCTACACAGTGGAACATCTGTCCCTTTGCTCATGCTGTTCCCACTGTCTGGAAATCCCTGTCCCTTTCCTCAAGTGTCAATAGCGTTCATTCCCCAGAGCCCACTATAGGAGTAAGTGCTGCCCCCGTGTGGCCTGTCCTGTTTCTTCCCCGGTACCCCTTTCTGAACTGTGTAGCCTTCCAAGGTGGTCATAGTTGCACCCTGATCCTGTTCTCTATTGTCAGCCATATTGGATTGGGACTGGGGCCTTGTCCAGCTCTACAGAACGTCTCCTGCAGGCAGCCAGAACTGGCCTGTAATTCATTGGCCTCTGCAGAGCAGACACAGGGCCCAGATACCACAAGACCTCAAAGTCTAGGAATTGTCCAGCTCTATCTGCTACCCATGACAGGAAATAGGGACCATGTGGCACATGGACCAGTGTCTATGTGAGGGATCTAAGCCTGCTGATGAATACGTTCTGACACATATGGAGACTTTTCCAGGTACCAGGTGCTGCAGTGAGTATTTTGCATGTGCTTAGCCATTTAATCCACACAAGAACCCTTCTCATAGATGAAAAAAATGAGGCACAAAAAAGTGAAATTACTTTCCCATGTTACCAGCTAGTAAGTAGCAGAGCCAGGTTTCAGATCTAGGTAGTCTGGTTCCAAAACACATACTCTTAGCAACAACACACTGACACCACTGTGAGTAAATATGAAAGAAACAATTATACCCTGGATCAGCTTCCCAGATGGTGACATGTGAGTCATGCTCTACTTAATCTGTGACCATATACAAATTTTTCATCAAAGGTAAGTTAGCAGGGTCGGGGATTAATTAATGTAAAATTAAGACATTCGTCAATATAATGCAAGCCCATCCCTGATTCTTTTATTCATGATATTTCTGTTTAATAGGGGATCAAGTGTCAGGCTAGACACGTTGAGTGTTAAGGAGCTCAATATGGCCTCAAAGCAAACCATTTGTCAATAAGTGCTCATGTTTAAATATAGATGGATAGGCTGGGCATGGTGACTCATGCCTGTAATTCCAGCACTTTGGGAGGCTGAGGCAGGAGGATTGCTTGAGGCCGGGAGTTCAAGACCAGCCTGGGCAATGCAGCAAAACCTTATGTCTACAAAAAAAATTAGCTGAGCGTTGTGGTGCACACCTGTAGTCCCAGCTACTTAAGAGGCTGTGGTGGAAGGATCTCCTGAACCCAGGAGGTCAAGGCTGCAGTGAGCCATTATCATGCCACTGCACTCCAACCTGGGCAACAGAGTGAGATTCCAACTCAAAAAATAATAAATAAATAAATAAAAATAGATTGATTGATACAATTGGTCCTCAATAATTGTGAATTCTGTATTTGTAAATCTTTCTACTGGCTACAATGTATTTGTAACCTTAAAAATCAACACTCTCAGCACTTTCGCGGTCATTCACACATGTGCACAGAACAGTGAGAAGTTTGAGTTGCCTGGTGCTTAAGTTCCCATCTGAGCTCAAATGAGGCAACGTTCTGTCTTCTTGTTTCACATCTCACGCTGTACCTTATAGGGAAATGCTGTGTGTGAGACAGGCTTTGCGAAGGCATGGGTTGTCCTGCTTTTGCCTGGGCGTTCAGTGTTAACAAACAGTTCAGTGCATCCAGAAAAAGGAGGAGGATATTTGCTGATCCACACATGAGGCCATTCTGGAAAGTACTAAAGTCACCTCAGTAGTGTGTGACAAAGCTGTGGGAAAGATGGAAAACAGCTACATTTGTAGATTCATGAGATGATGAAGGATTTTAAAAAATCATAGTGGACATCACTTTTGTGAGGCTGAAAACTAAAAACATGTTACTCAGGGTCAAGAAAATGTTAAGCCCTTCCCAGTTGGCATTTTGTTATAAATAAATACTGCATATGACAAATTCTTTGTAAGAAATACACCAAGGGAGAGCCAAAACACTGGAATTATTTATAAAAAATTGTGTATTTATTTTTACATATTTAAACTTTAGTCACCTTCATAGCACCTTTCACTTGATACAATACACCTATCGAGATGTTGGAAACACTGCTCAAAACAGTTTTTGAACTCGTCCATTTCAATGCCTTTTAGTGTTTCTTTTTGTTTGTTTCACCTCTTCCCTATCGCCAAAACTTTTTTTTTTTTAAGGACTTTTCTCATCCAGGGAAACAAAAAAAAAGTTGCTCTGGGTGAGTGTGGGTGAATAGGGAGGGTGGGCATGGGGGTCAAGCTGTTTTCGGTAAAAAACTGCTGAACTCTCTGCAAGGTATGGCAGGTGCACTCACAAATCACCCATCGTGAAATGGGCAAACTCACTAAAAAAACTCAAAAAAAAAAAAAAAATTCGCTGAAGTTGAATGCAATCTCTCACAACAACGCTAGCTGGTACACTGATGCCAGTGGGTTCCTAGAACATTTACATAGCAGAGAAAGCCTGTACTCACCCTCCAAAAATAATTCAAGTTTTTTTGGGATTCCCCTCATATATTACATAAAGTTATCTTTAAACAAATATTCACACATAAAGCAAAGCTGATAAAAAATGTTGTGACCAGAGGTTTGCAGGAAACTAACCCTGTATTTCCCCTTGGAACGACTTGGTATTTGCTAATTCAGAATTCACAACACCTTATAGAATGTAATGACAGCAAATAATGAGAATCGACTGTAGATAGATAGAGAGATACAGACTTCAAACTGAAGTGTATATAAATTTACATATATAACATATGTATTTTCATTTGAGTGAAGATTTGCCCCTTTCTCTCATTACCTTTACTACTGCTAGTCCCTGGTTGACGTTTGACCCTTTGGGAATCACACAGACTTAGCCCTCTTTGTTAAGGTCCTGAGCATCTGTGGCCACCACCCACGGCCATGCAGGTTTGTGGTGCTGGCCTCCTCCTCAGGCAGGCAGAGAGGGGGATGTGGGGCTACCGAGGAGGACAGATGCTACATCACTCTCTTTCCCAGAGTCATGTCTTCATGCCCACTGTGATTGATGGAGTGCTCCTGCCAAAAACACCGGAGGAGCTTCTGACTGAGAAGAATTTCAACACTGTCCCCTACATCATCGGACTCAACAAGCAAGAGATGGGCTGGATTATCCCAACGGTGAGACTGTGTAGACCTCTAAGATAGACTCTCTCCCCGCACCCATCAACCTTCCCATCTCTGGTGGAAAGAGTTCTTCCTTCTCCAAGTCCTGACCCCTTCACGTGAGCTAACATTACCATGGGAACCTTCTTGGGGTGACCCAACAGTCACCTGGTTGGCACGGTCCTGGGAACCCCTCTCCCCAAACACTCTTTGACTATCTTTCAATTAAAGAATCCTGAAGTGCATACTGGGAGGGCCTGTAGAAAATAACTGTACAGGTGGGAAAATGAAGGCAGCCTAGGAAGAGGAAGAAGCTCGGGAGTTAGGAGAGTCAGGCCTGGGGCCTATGGCATCTCACCTTGGGCTTAGTACATATACATAACTTCCCCATAAATCTCCACACTTGCTCTTGTCATCTCATTGGAAAGATTTAGATAAAGTTGCTTCTTCTTGGGTTAAGATTGACCTCTAAATGTGAAAGCTGGTTTTCCTTACCATTGAAGGTAAACAAAGCTGGCCCTAGTTAAAACAGTAGGACAGATTTTATTCAGCAATGCTATTGCCGTAGTGAAAAAGTCCAGCATGGACTAGACTCAAATTCCTGAAACAAAAGACTGGAGATGTCTTAAAGGCCAGGGCTTGCTAAGAGAAAGGCAGTGGGATGTATGAGGAGAGGGCATTAGTCCATATGACCACCTGGATTTGTTAATCCACACTTACCTGGGGGAGAAACAAATTTCTCTTATCTTTATAACAGGAAGTTATGTAAACTGAAGTAAGGTTAGCTTTTAATTCTCCACAGGGACTGGGCAAGAGATCAGAACTCTTTTTCTGAAACTTTGCACTTCAAAGAGAAGGTGCTCAGGTCTTGAGGAAACAGTTTGGATGGTAGATTTATATCCCAAGGGGCAGAGAAAGGATTTATAATAGCACACTTTCTAAATTGCTCTAGGAGGGGGTCCAGGGCCTATCTAACTATTGCCAGGTTTTGGCTGGAGCAAACAGTAAATTCTCCTGTTGAGCCTGAGCTTCCCCAAGCAGGCATTTTAAGGGGGAAAAGGGGCTGAAGTTCTTCTGGAAACATAGCCTTAAGCTGCTGCAAGCCATGCTAGAGTTTGTTTAAGTCTCGGAGTGCAGAGGTTTGGACAGAATCGTTATACACTAGATGTTCTGCAGTTTACCCTCCAGAAGGGTTTCAGAGATGATGTCAAAGGAACAAAGCCACGAAGGCAGGAGTTGGGTGTTTCTAAGTCACCTGTGACAGGTGGGGGTATTTATAAGGTCTGTCGGCTGCCCCAGAGCCCTCTACTTCAACAGTAGCCTGGCTTAAACCTTCCCTCTCTGCCTTTTGGACCATTGGGGGGAATCCTAGTCTGATACACACACACACACACACACACACACACACACACACACATGCACACACACTGAAAAAAACAAAAACAAAAACACTGGCACAGCTTCTGCTGATATTTGAAATAATCCTCTTTGCAATCTTTGAGTTTCTGGATACAAGTTTACTTGATTCATTGATTTTGCCCAATTCATTAATGATCTGAGTCCCTAAAGGCCCAACAGAATTAGATTTCAGACTGCATTGGTTTGGTTGATTGGTCAGTTGGTTCTTTTTGTTAATTCTCAATTATTCATAAATGCTTAAATTTTTTTTCCACAGCTGATGGGCTATCCACTCTCTGAAGGCAAACTGGACCAGGAGACAGCCAAGTCACTCTTGTGGAAGTCCTACTCTTTTGCTGTAAGAGACTAGGAATTATAGGAATTGGCTGAGACCAAAAAGGGGCAAGGACTTGTCCCAAATCACAGATCAGTTAAATGGCAAAATGGAGATGTGGACTTGAGGGTTTTGCCCCCGTTTTTGTACCTTTCCCACTTTACCACCCTGGAGGAGAGTTGCACAGGGCTCAAGAGTTTCCCCATTAATGCAAACTCTCCTCACTGGCCAAGCTGTGTCACTCCCAGAGGGCAGTGATCACTTTCTTGATCTATTTCAGGGTATCCCTGAGGAAGTGGTTTCTGCAGCCACTGAGGAATACTTAGGAGGAACAAATGACCCTGTCAAAAAGAAAGACCGGTTCCTGGACTTACTTGCAGATGTGGTCTTTGGTGTCCCAAGTGTGATTGTGGCCCGCCACCACAGAGGTGAGTCCCAGAGGGTGGAGAGGAGAGGGACATTGACCTGCCTATCTCCCAGCATACACAGATGTGGAAACTGCCAAGGATCGGGCCTCAAAGGCTGATTCCATATGGCATGGCGTGGGGTTCTGTCCTATTTTGGTTTCTGCCAGTAGTAGATTCTGAGAAACAGATCCAAATGCAAATAGTGCATTTGGGAGGAGGTGATTCCAGAAAACACAGGAGGGAGGTAGGGAAGTGGCAGAGGAAAAAGATGGAAGCCAATCTGTGATACATTGCCAAGCGAGCATCCATTTGGACAACTAGAGCTGGAGAACTCTGGGAAATAAGGAGAAGACACAGCTCAGGCTTCTTCAGTCTGAGCCGCAGAGGAGCTGTGGTATTTATCCACCAGCTCCCACTTGTCATTAGCTGAAGGCTGTTTCAAATGGTTGTTAATTCCCTGGCACTTTGACCTGCTGCACATATGGGCAGAGTAGTTTTGGTGGCCAGAGGCCTTAGGCAAAGAGCTGCAGATGCTGGAGGTGAAATTTAGGCTGGCAAGCCCAGAAATAGGGGATATGAGCGAGGCAACTTCAGCATCAGCTGCAAGGGCTCCTTACCTAGTGGAACGTGGGGCTAGAGGACATATATTACCTTATATTTCTAAGGTCAGAGCTAGTTGCAAACTAGTTTGTTAACTAGTAGAGCTAAGGGAAGGGGGGGGGGAGCAAAGCACAGTGTTCAGAGGGTTGTCCAAGACCAAAAAGGCCAAAAGGAGGAAGCAGTAGCAAGAATGGGGGAGGTGGTCTGGAGAATGTCAATGTCTGTGGCTGGCATTTGTCCATTCTGGAGTGTGCCAGAATGGGCAAGCAGAGGGCTGGAGCAGAGTGTGAGGGGCCTTCTGTCATGGCCCCAAGGTTTGTGGGCGGGGCCGCGAGGGGCCTTCTGACTTGGGCCCAGGGCTGTGTGAGCAGGACATGAGGAGCCATCTGATTTGGGCCCAGGGCCCTGTGTGGGGGAGTGTGAGGGGCCTTCTGACATGAACTCAAGGCTGTGTGGGTGGGGTATGAGGGGCCCTCTGACATGGGCCCGAGGCCATGTGGGTGGGGTGGAGATCGGTGAGCTCACCCAGAAGAGAGGTGTCCTTCTCTGGGTGTCAGTTGTGGAGCTTCCCAGGACCATTGTTTTTTCTACCAGCTCTCATTTATCTTGTCTACAAGCCAGGAGATGGTTCTCTGATCCTGACCTCTCTTTCTAACTGTGCTTGGAAGGATTTTAGAATTCAGAAGATGGTCAACACTAACTACAGCTGACCTAGTCTGTGCCAAGGCATGCCTCTGTGTAGGAAGGCATGGGCGTTCATTACCTTTGCCTCCGCTCAAAGGTCCTGATGAAACCCTTTAACCAGGGGCTGCCCGGGCTTAAGTCTGTTCTTTCATAAACATCGTTTTGCCTCCTGCTGTGTGTCTGATCTTAAGTGTCCCTGTCTTCTGCATCTTCTGCTGATCCAGCTGCACTGGACTTACGAGTTTTTTGTTGTTGTTGTTTTATTTGTTTTTGAGTTGAATCTCACTCTGTTGTCCAGGTTGGAGTGCAGTGGCATGACCATGGCTCACCACAGCCTCAACCTCCTGGACTCAGGAGATCCTTCTATCTCAGCTGTCCAAATTGCTGGACTATAGGTGTGTGCCACCACACCCAGCTAATTGTTTTGTTTTGTTTTTGTAGAGACGAAGTCTCACTATGTTGCTCAGGCTGATGTCAAACTCCTGGGCTCAAGTGATCCTCCTGTCTTGGCTTCCCAAAGTGCTGGGATTACAGGCATGAGTCACCGTGCCCGGCCAGTGGATTTATGTTTTTTATCTGATACTTCACAACTTGGAGTTCAGAGTCATTTTGCCAGGACTACACAGATTATATCAACTTGCATTTTTTATTTGTCCCACTCTTTTTGATAAAAGTAACTTTCTGAATATAAAATTAATATGGTATAATTGTAGAAAGTTTTTTAAAATATGGAAACACATAAAGAAGAAACTAGACATTGCTCATAATTCCTTCATCTAAAGGTATGTGCTGTAAACTTTTTTGTATTTTTTCTAACAATGTTTTCATGTCATATGTAATTTTAAAGTCAATTGTTTATAATGTTTCTTTCCATAGAATATTATATTGTGAGAATTTTCTTAATGTCAGTAAAAATCCAACAAAAAAATCCATTATTCCATAAAATGAATGTAATAAATTTTGCTTTAATATTTCTATTCTATTGGCTACTTAGACTAGGTGCTCATATTTTGAGGCTGCAATAATGTTACGCTTAGCCTTATGTACATAAATCTTTGACCACATGTCTAATTATTTTATTGGAATTTTTTCGTGTGTGTAAAATTAGTAGGCTGGACTATAAGAATATTTTAAAGCTCTTGATGCATATTACCCAATTGCTTTCCAGTGTATAAGAGTGTGGATTTCTTAACTTCTTTTCTTACTTGGAATACTAAAGTTAAAAATTAAAATAATGTTGCCAATTTCATAAGCCCTCCCCCAACAAAAAAAGAACATCACGCGACATTTTAATTTGCATATTTTTAATCACTGGTTCTCCTATGGTCTCTGCTTCTCTTATTGTTCCTAATTGTTATTGCCCAAATCTGTGCCCAACTTTCTTTTGAAGATTGGTGTTGTGAAGGAACATAGGAATTATAAATCTCAGTAGTTTTATACAACAAGTTTTAAAAATATATCTTTTGGGCAGCAAAAAATAAATAAATAAATAAATAATCTCATTCATGAAAGGTCTTTCTTCTCTGGTTGGGCTCTGAGTTCTTTTTTAAAATGTTTGAGGGGCAAAGGCAAGGTCAAGTTCCACTTGACCTTGAAGCAGCCATTTAACAAGTGGCGTACCCAGTCACAGAAGCCAAGGGCACAGGGGTGGAGGCTGAGGAAGGCAATGAAATAAATGGTTCTTCATCCTCATGTTGGGAAGTCATATATTGGTAAAACTTTTTGTTGATGAACATTTAATCATGGTAAGAAATGATTATAGTATATTACAAATAACATATATCATCCCAATCTAGTGTATGTGTATATATATATATATATATACACACACACTAAATTTTTTTTTTTTTTTCGAGTTGGAGTCTCACTCTGTCACCCAGACTGGAGTGCAGTGGCCGCTCCCAGCCACCGCAGCCTCGATCTGCTGGGCTCCGGCAATCCTTCAGCCTCAGCCTGACAAGTAGCTGGAACTACAGGCGTGTGCTACCACACCTGGCTAATTTTTTGATTTATTGTAGAGATGAGGTCTCGCCAAGTTGCCCAGGCGAGTCTTGAGCCCGCAGGCTCAGGCAAATCCACTCACCTCAGCCTCCCAAAGCACGGGATTACAGGCTGAGCCACCGAGCCCGGCTTATACTAAAGTGTTGAAAGAGATTTTCTCTGAGTGGTGGGATTATGAGTGATGTTTTTGTTCATTTACCTTTTTTCTGAATGCTTTATTGTACCCTAGGGGAAAATGTGAATTATTTCTACCAGCCTGGCTTGGGGCCTGACCCTTTTCCTCTGAGGGTCACTGCTCCATGAACATCATGACCAATGCAAGGTAAAGAGCCACAGAGATAGGTGACCCATGAGTTAGCCCCGAAGGGGCAGGGATGAGTGACTCCAATGAGTGGATTGATAGGAAAACTGGCGCTATCTTGGGCTTGGACAGGCGGGCTTTTTTGGCGAGAGAGGAGGGCAGAAGACAGGAGGAGAGAGGTCAGGATAGAGGCAGGGTCACCCTTCCTCCACCCCTTCTCTTTTCCACTATCACCTTGTAGGAAACAAGACATGGGAGGGGACAGTGAAATATGAAGCACTGAGTGTTGTGGTTCCTGCAACGCAAGAGACAGATTGTTCCCTCTCTGCATATGTTTGTATTTAAATATCCTCGCTTTCAGACAAGCAGCTTGGATTTGCTTCACTCCTCTCCAAAGGGGTGAGAAAAACACTGAGATGCTCAAAAGTAGGCTGAATAGAAGACACCTGTCAGGTTGTAGATATTCTGCAAGTGAATGGACACAGGTCTGATATCAATGAATTGCATCCAGTGGAGAGTGAATGTGTATAGATGTCCTTGCGTGGCAATGAACGTATCAGGGGGCAAAGGGATTTATGTGAAGCGACCCAGTGACTCTAGAATGGTGGTTATTTTAAATGAATTGAACAAATGAATCAACATTCATTTGTTCAGTATTCATTCATTCAACAAATATCTGGCTCAAGTCCCATTCCACCTCAACCAGCTATGCAGACCTAAGGAAGTCCACGAACTTCCCTGAAGCATGTGCTTATTTATGAAACTCTGAAACTCTGTTTCTCTACTGTGCTGACAACCAGCTTCTGGAAACCCGGGGAAACCCCTGCAGGGCCAGAGACCTTGGCTCCTTCCAAGTGTGTCTGGTAACATGAACTGTGCATGAATCCGTGTCTTCTCAGATGCTGGCGCTCCCACCTACATGTATGAGTTTCAGTACCGCCCAAGTTTCTCACAAGAAATGAAACCCATGACGGTGATAGGGGACCATGGGGATGAGATTTTCTCCGTCTTTGGGGCCCCGTTTTTAAAAGGTAAGTGCTCTCTGCTGGCTATGAGCTTGGAGTTAGGATATCTGTGTTCTAGTCTTGGTTTGTGGCCGTCAACAAATTGCTCCTTCTCTCCTGGTCTTAGTTTCCTGATTCACCATAACAGGGTTGTGTGACATTAGGCAGACCCCAGGCTTCCTCCTGCTCTGCTATGTAACTTGTGGCCCATCTCACGGCCGTTCATAACATACTAGAGCCTCTGGGCATCTCCCAGCTGGGTGTCTCCTTAGGACTGTTGTAGCTCTGTTATTTTTCAGACTATGAAAATGTGATTGTGAGTAGGAGATTGAGAAGAGACCCAAGAGAGCAGCCCTGAGAGATGGGGTTGCTGTAGAGGAAGCCCTGAGGCGTGATGGCATGACCTGGAGTGGGGAAGAGGCTGGATGGGGTCACAGAAGACAAAGGCAGCCAGCTTATGGATTGCCTGCATGTTCACTGCTGAGTCTTAGATCAGTCCTTCTCAAAAGTAAAGTGTACACAGATTAACCATGATCTTCCTAAAATGCAGATTTCAATTCAGTGGTCATGGAGTAAGGGCCAAGACTCTGCATTTCGTTTTTTTTTTTTTGAGTTGGAGTCTCACTCTGTTGCCCAGACTGGAGTGCAGTGGCTGCTCCCGGCCACTGCAGCCTCGCCTGCTGGGCTCCGGCGATCCTTCCGCCTCAGCCTTCCGAGTAGCCGGACTACAGGCATGCGCAACCATGCCCGGCTGATTTTTTGATTTATTGTAGAGATGAGGTCTCGCTGCCCAGGCGGGTCTCGAACCCGCGGGCTCAGTCAATCCACTCACCTCAGCCTCCTAAAGGCGCGGGATTACAGGCTGAGCCACTGAGCCCAGCTGACTCTGCATTTCTAACAAGCTCCCAGGCGATGCTGACACTGCTGGTGCCCTTTGAGTAGCAAGACCCTCTTTTTCTTCCCCACGGTGCTGATAACCAGCTTCTTTTTCTTTCCCACAGGAGGTTCCTCAGAAGAGGAGGTCAATCTTAGCAAGATGGTGATGAAATTCTGGGCCAACTTTGCTCGCAATGGGTGAGGCTGGTAGCAAAGGTGGAGCAGGGTTGGTGGGGGATGCATGAAAGGTGTGCCCGCCGAACATGGTGGCTCAGCCTGTAATCCCAACACTTTGGGAGGCTGAGGAGAGTGGATTGCTTGAGCCCATGAGTTTGAGACCCACCCGGGCAACTTGGCAAGACCTCATCTCTACGATAAATCAAAAAAATTAGCTGGGCATGGTAGCGCACGCCTGTAGTTCTGGCTACTTGGAAGGCTGAGGTGGAAGGATCGCAGGAGCTCAGCAGGTCGAGGCTGTGGTGGCCGGGAGCGTGCCACTGCACTCCAGCCTGGGCAACAGAGTGAGACTCCAGCTAAAAAATAAAA